ACAAGGTCATTAAAAGGACCATTAAATTCAAGAAATGCCGAATTAAACGTTTTTTTTTTTAATTTCTGTAACATCAACTTATTAGTGCATAACATGCCTCTTTTAAAAACTGATCGTACAGGTGATAGTAAACATTAATTACTACATACTCCCGTAAATAACGATGAAAAACTAATTAAGTAAAGATAAAAAGAGAAGTTTGGTGTACTTTTGTGATAGTTTGCAATATACGGAACAAGGATTCCCAATTTGTGTTTTAAAATTCATTATATGATGAAAAAGTTTTCAAAAGTATGATGTAATTTACATTTTGAACATCTGTTTTATTCTTTTGAACAAATAAAATATCAGATTTCCGAAAACTACGTATCCCAATTCATTTACATCTAATCCCGTCTTTGATTTAAATAAATTAGACGCCATATTGATTTTTGTACCATCCTGCCACACATAGCTATAGATGTGGGCAGACGGCGACGAACTCCTGCGTCCACACATGCGCACAAAGGGCCCTGAACTGCTGACAGCTTTATCACTATGCCGTGTGTTATTCGGTCTACGGACACCTTTCCTATAAATCCTGACACGACGTATCAACGCCTCCTGATCTACGGAGACTGAGAAATAAAATTAACCTTAATGGGCGTGAAATGTAATCCATTTTTTTCCTGAGTTGTAACATTAAACTAACATTAAGTGTAGTGAAAGTGTTACATTTATTCGTTTAATGGTATTAATTAGAAAGTAATGGGTTAAAAATATAAAGTTTATACTCTCTTTTTAAAAAAAAGGATTGTCGGTGAAATAAAACTTTATAGCGTTTTTTTCCTCAATACATGTATATGGTATAATCTGAAAAATAAAACCATTTACATATCGAACAGAGAAGGATTATAAAAGAGAGAAAAAACAATGATATACTGAGGCAAAGCAATGTTCACACTAAGAAAACGATGTTTTTGTAGCCAATGAAGTAAAAATCAGCCAAAAGACAACCCAGTGATATGTTATGTTTCGTAATAAAGTCCATTATTTAACAAAATGAGGACTTGAAATGATGTTGTTAAAATACACAGGTAGTATCATCAACTTATCTGTCAGTAGCCTGCCTTGGGTTTTAAAAATTGATCGCACTCGGAACATGCTCTTGAGTATCAAATAAATAGGAAAACGTAAACACCATATACAGGTGACAGCATAATATTGCACATACTGCATAGATAAGGTAAGTTGATGTGTAAAAACCTAAGTCGTCTCGTCTGTCATACTTGAAAGACCGGACCACTTTAACATTTTGTTTTTGACATTTTTTGTTAAAAAGAAATTTAGTTCCCTATTTACTTAAACCAAATCCAATCACACATTTCTACCGAACAAACCTTGCACCGGGTGCCTTACCCATTTATGGATTCCTTCCGACGTATCGGGTGACTATTTATGGTGGAAAGCTGCGACTTCATTAAGGAAGTAATAAGAGGTTGATTGGTTCAGCAAAAAGAACTCATTGACAACCTATCACACTGATGAAACGTTTAACGATTAGTGAGATAATCTTTTAGCCATTGATCAGCACTGATGTCATCGCCCAGTTGAGCAACATTTTCAGTATAAATCCCACGCCATGTTGATTGTTTATGAAAACAGCATCGCATGAGCAGGATTTCCGTAGCGTGTTCGAACTGACGAGGAGACGTCAAAATCACGTACTTTAACACTTTCTTTAATATATTTCTAAGAATTTCTTATCACGTCCATGCTTTGTCTGTTGTATCGATTGTCCATTAACTTAAATATATGTATAGTAGATAAAAAAAGTAAAATATGTGTTAATACTTATTAAGGAACTAGTATACTTTCTTGGGTTACGGCGATAAAGATTGCACCCTTCGAAAGCAATTTCGATTAAAAAGTTCCATGAACTTTCTGAAGGTATCATCTAATAAGTAATCCTTATATCTAATAGGTAATTCTTTCGTGTTAAAATTTTACAAAATCAAGAAATGTACCTTTTATCACATTACTCCCTTCATCAGCAAATCAAGAAAATATTGTTTTTGCTTTGTTCTTTTTCAATGATAATTCGCCCACTGCTTCTCTGATATTTTATTATGAGGAAGTAAAGAATGAATGAATGAATAAAATATGAAAATAAAGAACAGTTAATCATGTTTAAAAGTACATTGAAACAATACAAATAAAGAGCAAAGCAAACAAGGGCTTCCAAATAAATCACGGATGGGATCAGGTGCCAGAGAGAAGTGGGTATCACCGCCGGGTCGGGTTTCCCCGTGGACTGGTATTCAATCAGTTACTCACAACAGTAATTGAAGTTCTAGAATCAGAATGATGTCATACTATTTTACTGCCAAAAAAGGAATAAGTAAATAGATTGACAACTGAAAAATTTAAACATTCGAATCTAGCTTAATCGCCTTATTTTATACTTTTTTAACTTTGGCAACTTAGGCAAAAATAAAGCCATTGTTTGTATTGAAAAAAAAATCTAAATTGAAAAACATAATAATATAAAATTTTATGTCAAGCAACTTAAGAAATATTTTAAATATATTAAAAGTGTATAAACTTATAATTTTAATAAAAAGTTCTAGCTATTCTAGATATTAAATGATATTCTTGGAATTTTCTAGATGTACAAGTGTATAGAGAATGTAAAAAAGGTATAAAAATTAAGGTTCAGAAGTTATTGATAACACAAAAAGATTTCAAAAAGTTACTTGCAATACTTAGTTTACGAAAAATCTTTTTAAATATATATATCACTGGTAATCTTTTGATAATATGCACTTTATATTAATTGTTTCTTTTAAAATAATATCAACTACATGTACAATTATGAAATCTATGTCTTTAAATCTAGAAAAAAAAATATTTTTCTCTCTTTTTTTCTTTCATTGCCTCTTTTAACTAAGCGGGTTTTACTTATCGGATTTATATTTGATAATTTATCTGTTCTTCCCAAAACTATTCAAGTTTATTTTCATAGTAAGTATCGTAGTATGCCCTTGTTTCAAGAATACATGAAGACAAAGAAACATAATTATGATAACAGATTTTTCCGTTATTGTATTGTTTTTGAACTTTGATATTAAATACTGTTCTTTATCTCCATATCCTTCATGCCTCAAAATCACGGACTTCTTCTCCAGATTCCTACACTTGCCAAAAGCGAATGAAATCTAAGACTCTACATTGATATACTTGTAAACACAGAAACATCAAGAAGCGAGGGAGACATTCTCTGCTAAAATTTGTTCATTACTATCTTTTCTGATAGTCGTGATCGATCAAGGTCTAGGAGAGTGCGCGGTATCTCCGCTCTGTCTTCCCAGACCCTTCACTGTAATCGCTGATCCTACAGTCAACGTTTAATATTTTATACCTTCTATAGTAAGTAAGCATTTTTGCTGTGTTATTTTTTTTCCCCTCCGTCATTATTGTGTCAAGGATTTTATTATATTTTTTTATTTTTTTTCTTTACGCTGTGAGTGAAGATACTTTATCGTTATATTGTGATAGAGAACTAATTTTCAAGTGAAAATCGTGCCATATCTGTTGGCTTGGGGGACCAGATTCCTAGAAAGTGACATGAATTCCGGTAATATATTCCTACGGCTTCCTCGGAAAATGATCGATTTCCAACCCTTGGATTCTTAGAAATGAAGTTTTAACGTGGCTCAGGGGTAAATTGAAATAATAGCGCTTGTGATAGTCTTTCCTATTGTTGCATTTAATAGAGATCCAGATGTGATTTTTTCATCTACATGTTCTCCGAACAAAACAGGTAAATACATTTCTTTATAATGCTTTGACCTCCAAGGTTCCCTTTATTTTGTACTTAAAATTATTTTAAAGAGTATTGCCTGGAGATGTACTATTAGATATACACACAGTTTAGGTATTCCACAAAAAATGTAATAAAAAGTTAAGAAAAGAAATAAAGAAATACTTTTTCCACAATATTTTCAGGAATAATGGTGGTTATGAGTAAGTAAATGAAATTGATACAAATGTAACAAATGTATGAATACACTGGCTTCCTCGTTTCCAACGTTTCGATAAAGTGATTAGTCTGTTTTAATGCAATTGGAGCATGGAGTTCGATTATTTACTTTAAAAAGCTTATTTTTGAAATCGGGAGCTTTATCTCCTTAATTGAACAATAAAATATTACTTAAAATCAGTCATTAGTCAAAATATCAGTAAAATTAAAATATAATTATTAAGTTAAAATCAAAATGTTATTTGAAGCTCGATAACCCGTGGTTATAAATAGTCTTTAATGCTTCTGTTTTTGTCTTTATCCCCAAAAAACTCTACCTATAAATATTATACCCGCAATTAATTATCCTAAATACGTATCAAACAATTGTTTTAAACCATTCATCATGTCACAAACAATTTTCAAGTTCGAAATGGTGTAAAGAGGAAACCTTCCCTTCAGACATGAAATAAAAGTTCTGCATTAAAAGCTAATGATAACTAACTTAAAGTAATTAGCTTACTGAAGTACGTAAAGGGATATTCAAATCTACCATGCATAAAAGCCGGGATATCACCACTAAAAGCCTGACACAGAATCCGCCGGACTTATCGAATGTAAAATCGATTAGTTTACATTTATAGGAGCATTCCCCCGAGCTCGACGGAGAGAGGGAATCAGTCATCCATTTAAACTCCGCTTAGTTTTCTCTGAAGGCCGAATTATAAGAAAATTGCTTTAAAAAGTACTGGAACTTTTCAATCTAAACAGGGGATTACATAAGCTGATAAACAGGTTGAATTATCCTATTTAGTTTTTTTCCTACTTTTTAAGTAATATATAATCTAACTGAAGTTGAATTTATTTTCAAGTTTTCACAAAATCATTTAGTAGAGCTTTGTTGCAATTCTAAATTATGCAATTGGCTACAAGTCATTTTTCACCTTTGTTAAGTTTTGGTAACGTATCTACTCTGTAGGTTAACACCAATTTCCAGTCATAGAGAAGTCAAAGTTGCATCGAGTGGACCACATAGTGTCCAGCCATGTTCTGAAATGGTACAATGTCGTTACAAAAGTAATGCTGTGTTCGTCTTGTAACGAAGAGTCGGGGGATTACGGGCCCATTATTGACCTTGACACAGTCCTTCAAGATTACGCATGGAGGGAACTTAAGAGAGATGCTCGCTGGTACCAGGGCCCCCTGCTGCGTCGAACTTACTACGATATTGAAATCCCCTGGAATTTTTATGAATTTGAGCATAGAACTACGAAATTTAGCACTCGAAACCCCCAAGGAAGTACGCTAAGACAGGATTTCAGAGAGAAAAAGCAAGTTGAATTATTTACTACTGACTATAAAAATAACACTGCCAAAGAACAAATATATAATCTAAAAACACAACGTCAGACGCAGGCAAGAACTCACATTTCTTTCCAAAGGGGATTTGTGATTAAGAATAATGCCAATTTTAAGTTAAAAGTTCCGGAGCATTACGGGCATTGTGGTGTTACAGCGACGGCAGACGGCCATCTGAGAGTTACCAAACGCGAAGAAAACATCCAAGAATTGTTTACGTGGCAATGTGACAGTGATATAACCGTTGACCCCTATCATATCACCAAGGTTACCTTAATGGTGACCGAAGACGAATTCATGGCGGACTTTGAAGTTCGATCTCGTCTGCGAATGCCGACTGGGGAGGCACCTATCATTCTTAAAAGAAGACGAGATAACCACATTCATGCTGTTATGTTGCTGTCCGATCTTCGTGATGTATTTGCAGACTTGAATCATCCCAATATAACTGTTACCAAAGAGAAAATCGGTTCTAATACTGAGACGACGGTGGAATTTATTACTACTGGTACAATAGAAAGCGTCAGATGGAGTGATCAAAGAGTCTGTATAGAATCCAAGCCGATAGACCCGTCTGTATTCAGCGATTCGCTTTACGGCTCAGCAATATGTTCCAATGACGTATACAGCAGGGTAATCAAACATGCAACGAAAAACTCTTTTGAAAAAGAACAAAATACCATTTTATCTTCTACTGCGGCCACTACACCTAATGAAAAGAAACACGATTTTCAAGGATTCAAGGTAGAGACTAAAGATATGAGATTTAGCATAATTCCTAAGATAGTCACAGATAATCAGGAGGACTTGCTAGACAAAGACAGCCAATTAGAAGAGTCGTCTCAAATCAGGTCGGTATTCCCCACGATCAGGTTACAGGAAAAGGAAAGAAGAATGTCTGACCCAGAGACTAATCGACCCCCTCCCCCGTACCGAAGTGTGTCAGACCTCCCGCTCAAGGTCATTCGGGAAACCAGTTTGGAAGACAAAGAAAAATCGGAAGTGGGTACACCAGATTCCTCGGACTCTCAAAAGTTCTCCAAGGTCACGAGTGTATGAAGGTCAACAGCGTATGAAGGTCATCATCGTGTCAAGGTCATCAATGTGTAAAGGTCTTCAGGGTGTCAAGGCTCGTTTTCAGAAAGAATACTGGCAGCTGTATGCTACGGGATTTCAGAAAATCAATAACTAATATATATAATTGTTCAAAAGGGCATTTCAAAGCTAAGACATAAAGACGTTGAAGTTTCCACACCAAACCTATATTTGTTATTTGTGGAATCATTATATTTATTCTCTCCATCTCTTTGTAACATTGCAAAAATAATGTATTAGACCATCTTTGTCCTTTTATGTTCTCCATTATTTTGTAGTCCGTGAGTGCTTGTTTTGTTGTTGTTTCGTTTGAGAAGAATTGATCATATTATGAGCTGTGTGAGAAAGGATGGGTCAAAATTGTTCATTAATCAACTCAAACTGTGAGAATCTTTGAACATACACATATTCAAAATTTTTCGCTCAAATTTTTTTTTTAGGAACGTAAACTCTTTTTTATTTAAGCAATGCATAGTGCTATTATCTCATATTACTATGTAATTGAATGAATCATTGGATAAACTGTTATTGTTAGAGAGGATAAGCTGTTCCAATCCTCCAGTTTCATTGAACAGTCGATATTGATGTAACATGCAATGTGTGCTATTAAGACCGCAAATCAAATCAAGGCAATAATTAGGCTTCTGATACTACAGGGGGTACAATTTCACAATTTTATGAAACTCCATGCTATTCATTAGGTTCAGAATAAGTAAAAAATTGTAACTCTGTAGACGCTCAATATGGTACTTAAAAAAAATTGCCTCTGTGATGAATTTTTTACAATCCTAATTTTTGCATATATAAAAAATGAGAAGATAACAATATGAAAAGTGTTCGATCTCCAAAAGATCTAACCAATACACAACTGTAAAATGGACATGAAACACGGCTCCCTGGTAGTTTGGATCGGGTAACTCGAAGGAGTAAGCATCCCCTAAGTATTATAAAAGTATAGCATTCATTTGTTCTCATGATTGATTGATTGATTGTATAATGTTTAACGTCCCTCTCCAGAATATTTCACTGATGGAGACGTCACCATTGCCGGTGAAGGGCTGCAAATTTAGGCCTAAGAACGACAACTGAAGCAATTTTGAAGGAAATGGCAATTGCTATAAGAAGTTTATGATACAAAAAAATTCTTATTAACTTTTGAAAATTTAAATGTCAACTTAACTACACTGTAGTATGATTTGTTTAAGAGTCTTTTCTTGGTCAACATGGGGTAAAAAAGGCTTACGCTTCACTTGAACTATTAACACTATCTCCCGAGTCTTTGGAAAAATAATTATTATACATATTCAAAGTCTTTCGATCCGCTCTGCTATAAAACCTTATAATTACTGTGCGACATAAATTTTCATCCACATTTTTTAAAAATAGTCACTGGATCTTGTATTCGGTGTTATCATTAAAATACATACATTTTCCATTTACCACTAAAATTGGTAAAGAATTTCATTAACACGTACACGCGAATTATAATACTATGGTACCTCACAGAATTCGCCCGTCTTGTAAAATATGGTACATGTATGTGTGTAAAAATTGATCTGGCCCTGGATCAGGGGATTGACTTAGACTTAAGTCAAAATTTCAGTCATCTGTCAGTTGCTTAATACTCTGCATAAAATTTGTAGATTAAAGCAGTTTGCTAATGCAATAATATATAAATATTTTGATCCGTTTGACAGCGTTCCAACACTACTTACAGTATTTGATTTTAACATATATGGTGTGTTGAAATGCTATTAAACAGACTAAAATTTAAAAACCTGTACATCATTGCATATTAATCAAAATATTATTATCTGCAAATTCTTGGGAGAGTTTTAAGCATATACATAAATTTCATGATCCGTGGGCCAGGTATGTACTTATGTATACATATTTTCAAGAACAGTTTTATTTTACTCTTTTATACCGGTACATGTATAGCCGGGGTAAAATGAAATTACAGACTAATAGTGTACATGTATTTATTTTGTGTAAAAAAAAATCACGATCAAATGAATGGTTAATAACCTTATTGAATATGATTTTGTTGTAAGCCGTTGTTGAATATTGTCCATATAAAATTAAAATTTTTGTGTTTTTATTAGAATGATCCGTTTTGGTTTTTAAAAGAATCTACAAAGATCATATCATTTTCACAAGAATGTTTTCTAGTTTAGATACATTTACTTACTTAAAGCATAACTTTCCTTCTTTTCATATACATGTAAGTGAATTTTTTAAATTTAATTTCCATTTCGAAAAATAACCAAGTCATTGTTTTAACTGCAAGTTCAATATTACATCATATTTTTGCAATATATTTTGTTCGAATGTACATGTACAATAACTGCATATCCAAATCAAATTTATGTGGAAAGATATCAATTAAATGTTTTAGGTCAATGACATTGTGACCTTGATTATGACCTATAGGCTAAAAATAGCTTTTTTGAACCTTTTAACTTTTACATGAGAGATCTTCATATACATCATAAACATGACACCAAGACATGACCTTGTGACCTTGACAAAACAAAATGCTTATTAATTTCATTTCACAAACATATCTTGTTGTAAAAAGTACATGTACAATAAATATAAAATTGGAAAAAAATATATTGTGATAAACTTTTTACTTTTACTTCCTATTACATGTACATCACAAAAGGACATGACCGAGACAAAACACAATTTGCTTGTTAATTCATTTCTACTGAAAAAGTCTGAATATAAAAATCATATTGTGAGATCAGTTTGACATATTGTTTAAAGCGACACCTTATTTTCGCGAGATGCTCGTTTACTTTCTATATGCGAGACAAAATTTTCAAGAATTGTAATTATTGCTCTGTATTTTCCTACGGAAAACAAATTTTAATTTTGGCGAGAACACTTCAAGTTCTCGTGAAAAAATTCAATGTAAAGATTGACTTCCCTTCGAAGCTTAGTTGATGAAGGACATTTGCCCATATTAATTTTATACGTATGTTTAATTTCACTGGTGTATGGAATTTGGTAAGAGTACTTTTAATTAGAAGTCTTGTAAGGCATAAGATGTATGTAATATTGTGTTATGATTTAAAATAAACAACTAAACAACCTGAGTATGTTTTTCTGTTATTTTCAGGGAATTTGTACTTTAAATAGAATCTACATATTATACAACTCACTAAAAATGCTCCTGCATCTCATATGATTATTAGTTTTTTTCCTCTGGGATACAAGAAATAAGTGTTATATCAAAAAGTAAAAAAAATGGAGGCCATATGGCATTATTGCCTGACGTCACGGCGTCAGGCAGTATAAGGATTGATATTTCCAAGATCCGAAAATGTGCGACCATATCTAAAGAGCTAGAATTTGTGCAGCTGATTTACATTGGCTGCATTTTAAAAGAAACGGTTTTCAGAAAAAAGAAAGATATTACTGTGCAAAAGTACTTCCTTTAATCTTTTTTAAATTTTATATGATTTGCCGTTTCAACATGAGTGATTTGCATATATTATATTTAAAAAGCCAAATGTCACTAGTAAGATATCTTCGCGCCTTTTCCTTGGATTGTTCTATTGTATGAATGGGTGTGCTAACTTCCATGGAAAAAGTCCTTTTAACTTCCTTCTAATGGATATTCTATCTACAAGTTTTATATCTTTAAAATAACATGTTTTGCTATGTATATGGACATGTAACACTAAAGAAAACATTTGTTTATCTGATCATAAAAGGAAAATAGAAAATGCCCAATGTATATGTCTTTGTATGCACACAATAAATAAAAAAAGTAGTGAATAAGTCTACAAAGCCTAACTATTGAATTTCATTCATTCTCAATATATCATGTATTGGAGTGTGTCACCCCCCTCCCGAACAAAAATAATGAACACACAAGAGATGGGTGCTCAACAAAATGTGTTTTAAATTTCAATTATATCCATCTTTTAAAATGTTCACAAGGTGATTTGATAACAGATTTTATAACAGGTGTTACAATGACTTGAAATCAATTTAGATCCAAGGGGACATCACTTGCAGACCCCCCCCTTCAATTACAAAGTTCTTTAGTATGCCTCCCACTTTTCAAGAACCAGGATTTCAATTAATTATCAAAATATAAAGTTATGATATTTTTTAAACTCACAAAGTATTGCTCAAAAGGGTTATCACTCTTCATGCAGATAAATTGATTGATTTAGTCAGGCAAGCTTTTTAAAAAGCTGTTACTTGTGAAATAATTAAAGAATCTGTGAAAGTATCATCAAATTTTGTTTATTGGTTCAGAAGGATTTGCATATATTAAAGAGATGGGTACCCTTCAAAATTATAGAAAAATTGCAATATTCATGTTTTGCTATGCATACATGTCGAAAAAAATAAGTTTACATACAAGCAAAGTATCCATGTGAAACAATTGTATCAGACTCGTTGGTGTCTTTGATTTCGTAAATTCATTGTTACTCTGTATAGGCAATGAAATGCCAAAGGTAATAGAAACAAATAAAAGGTAAAAATGGTGTAAAAGTCATTTCTTGACACAATCCTATCTGAATTTAGCAAACTGAGTAAAGGGGCATGATGTAACGGTGGAGAGTTATCAATTCTGATTTACATACAAGTACTCTGAAGTTGACATCAAAAAGATGCTTGAGTTTCTGATTGACAATATCTATGTGGTTTTTGGACACCATATCCAACAATCTATTGGGATTCCCATTTGTACCAAATACGCCCTGTTATTAGCAGATCTATTTTTATATTTATATGAAGCAGAATTTGTCCAAAATCATACGTAAACAGAAGAAAAACTTCCTTTGTCCTTCAACTCGACATTTAGATCTATGAAAGACGTATTGTTAATTAATAATGGTAATTTCCATTCTTATGTCGATACAATATATCCCGGTGAGCTTGAGATAAAATAAACCACAGAGTCGGACACATTTGTTTCATATTTGAATATTTTACTTGAAAAAGATCATAATCTGGTAATCTAACAACCAAGCTTTATGATAAATGTGATGACTTTTAACTTTACAATCGTCAGCTTCCTTTACTAGTGCAGCAATATACCTTCGTCACCTGCATACGGAGTTTATATATCTCAGTTGATTCGATACGCAAGAGCATGCTCTACATATTAACAATTTCTAAAACGAGGTAAATTATTGACAAACAAGTTGATGAAACAAGAATAACAGCAGTCTCGTTTAAAGTCGTCAGTTCGTAAGTTCTAAGGTAGATACGATGACCTTGTCAGCAAATACAATTTATCATTGAGTCAAATGCTGGCTGACTTTGTTCAATATTAATTTTAGTCCATTATTTAAATACTGAATTGACGACGGATTTTTCCATTATTTCCCCATCATGACGAGGATCACTCTGCGACTGTGACCGGTCGGCAGGTGATGCTCACTCCTTCATGGCACCTGATCCCACCTCTGATGTTTTGGAGGTCCGTGTTTGCTTTACTTCTATTTTGTTTTGTTTTATGGATTTTTGATCTTGAATGCTATTCGTTATTTACATATGTTTCATCACAAATTTTTTTCTTCGTTTTCTTGTAAACTTCTTGTGTCAGTGGCATAAGTGATATACTCGGACTGTCAACGTAGAGGAAATTCAATGGTGATAATTAATACTAGGCATGATTGTCATCCACTTAATTTCTCGAATCTTGACAAGCAGTTCTTAGCAAGGCATGAAGCGTGTAAGAGTCTGAGGGAGAAAGATTAGCTTAACTTTCATCTTCGCTTTATGCAACTATTCCATTGTCACGTTATTTGAGTACATCATGGACCTTCAAATTCAAAACATTTTTTATGATTTTATTCTTTTTTTCTATTGAACTTATTTTTAACAGAACATGTCATCATTCTGATTCTTCGTATACTAACATTAGTTCATAATTTCTAAATTTATAACAACCATAT